TACAGTCAGTTGGGTCCTGGGCAGGACCGACTCTGGCGTAATGGATAAGACAAATGGCAGAACAGCTATTGCTGTCGCCAGACTGCGTAGAACCAACATTTCCGAAACTTGTGTCGTAAAGAGCGGTTGTTGTGTCCTCCTTTCTCTCGCGTGCGAGAACGTCAGGCTAAATGCAATACTTCTGGTGAAATGCAAGGTCGCTGCTTGATAAATGCATCAACCCATCCTCTTCATTCCCCCACCCGCGGTCCCCTGCCGCATCTACCCGAGCAATGAGCCATGTTGCATACGGCAGGCACCGATAGTACTTGGATTGTTCAGAAAGCAGGTCACTCGATAAGAAAGAGAGTTACATCAACAGTGGTCATGGAATGACAGTGGTGGCGAGACATGGGCTTGTGTTCAGACAAGGGCCAGGAAGGATTGTGCAGGGATGGACCTTTTGGCACCCCGATTCCTTTGGAGGCTTGTCACCTTCCTCATGTATATATGGGAGAGAAAAAAGATGGAGATCTTGTTCGCATCTGGTTTGGGGATATTAGCTTGGCTGTAACTGAAGCTAATGACGAGCTTCCTGCCCAAGTATAGCCGTCACAACCATCAAGCTTTGGGTGGTACCAAGAGATCCCAAGCCTTCCGGATACCTTGGCTTTGATCTGGGCATTTGGGTGGTGCAGAGCAGAGTTGCATCGTGCGCTTATCGACCCGATTGTGTCTCCATGGCCAAGATTGGGATTTGGTGGGATTGAGTAGCAAACCTGTATCAAGTAGCCGAAAGACATAGCACCAGATAGGAAGTTTCCAGCTGACGTGACGCAGGTTTCTGAAGACGAAATCGCTGGATCAAAAGAGGGAGATAGTCGAGTGGAATCTCCCGGAGAGGATGACTGGAGAAGGAAAGCGTGATGGAAGCATCCGCCAAGGCTTGAAGGAGATCGACGCGCCAATGTCTTGGCACAATGAGTGTCTTATCACGTGATATCACGTGATACACTGTTTTCTGCCTTTAGATTTTCCGCTTCCGAGCCAATCGTCCTTTCTCTCACCTTGATGGGCATCGACCAACACGATGGTGGCCCTTTCTCAGTCGGATGTGGCGGACATCAACACCCTCTCACGCTATCTGTCTTGCTTGCAAGTCCCTTCGCTCCACACCTGCTCTGCCGTGGATGTCGTTGTCTTCTGTGGCAACGCGATCCTGCCCATTGCCGACAACGTCTTCTCAGCCCTGGAAGCGCGTCCAGATCTTACAAAAGTCTTGGTCATCTGCGGCGGAATTGGGCACTCTACACGATTCCTCTATGAAGCTGTTCGCGCCCATGACCAATACTGTCGGCTGGCCGACGAAATCGATGGGCTTCCCGAGGCTGTCGTCTATGAGCGGATTCTCTCCGGGTATTACCCCAAACTCCACGGACGAATCAAGTCGGGTGAGATAAAATGCATTATTGAAGCCAATTCAACCAATTGTGGAGCCAATGCCATTGAAACGCGCCGAGTGCTCGAGGCACATTCGATCTCGGCACCCAGGTCTTGTATCGTCGTCCAGGAGCCGACAATGTCGCTGCGCACCCTGGCTGCCTTTCAGCACACTTACCAAGGCGTCGAGCCGTCACCTGAATTTCTCGCCTGTCCGACGTTCATCCCTCTGGCTTCTCTAGATGAAAAAGGTATGCTGCATCTCACAGCAGACACATCAGGTATTGAGTCCTCCGCACTTTGGGATAGCCACCGTTTCATTGACCTCCTGATGGGGGAAATCCCTCGGATACGAGACGACAAGAACGGGTATGGCCCAGAAGGAAAAGACTTCATTGTTCACGTTGATGTTCCGGAAGAAGTGGAGGCTGCCTGGGCGCGGCTCAGCAAAATCCTGCACTTCAAGCGCTGATATGCTATATTGAGTCTTCACTTGGCTGCAACCCGGCAGCGTGTAATTGTCTCTAAGGGACAGGTATACGACCTTGAAAAAGCTGAGTGGCCTTTCTGGCCAGATGCGTCCGGCTCAACCGTCGACGTGGAAAGCTGTATTTCTGAGATCCCCGACTTTGCGACATAACTCTCCATATCCACTATCGGATCCTCGGTCGCTGACCACAGTCGTCTTCCCTGTTAAACTTCATCCCACCAGGTTGGGTTGCCTCTTCCACTCTGGCCCTCGTACTTTTGCCGGCGATGCGAAGCACAGTCTTTTGTCTGTCCGGCCACGGTGCGATGTCTGTGCCCTTTGCACGGTTTGTTCTTTTTGGCATGCTTGCACAAGTTGTCCTTGGTGATCATGGCGCCTTTGCAGCCCGCGTTGGGACAGTGATGGTGGATTCGGATAGTTTCGCACATTGTTGCGTTTTTGCCAAATATTGTCGGGCTGATTGTTTGCGACTTGCAAAGAGACGGCTATGCTGAGAAGGTCGACACTGACACTGACACTGGCAGTACAGGACAATGCTTCTGACTGGGGGGTTTTGGCCTGGTTGGAACTTGTATTCGGTATGGTCGAGACTGGAACGGAAGACTTGGAGAATTGGAAGACAGAGTGTTTGGGTCATGGGTCATTTATGGTCGATGCGCTGAGGCTCTCCATGCACCCTGCGCCGCATGACACCCCATCTTGTCTGATGTTTGATCAAGGCAGAGCTACAAGCGGGTTCCCGCCATCTGGGTCCTGAGCGAGCCCGCGACGTCAGCCTCAGAAAGACACATCCTTTGTGGGTGGTGGGGGGTTTTGGGTTGGTTTGTTTCCATGTGTGTATGCGCGCGTGCGTGCGTGTGTGTGTGTTGTTTGTGTCTGTGTGTATTTTGTTTCGTGTTTTCCTGTTTCCCAAATGTTACTACAAGCTTACGTCTTCAAACAAATCTCAATCTCGTATACAGGTGGAGGAGGAGGGGAGGGTGTGTACCCGTTGTTACCGATGTACATAACAAAACATCCATAGCTACTTTGCTTCCTACCACCTATCTACCCACCCACCTACATACCTCGTCGTTACATAGCTGCCTACCTGCCAACCTACCAAAACAGGCAAGTGACACGAACCAGACTTTTCAAATCTCAAGCCCCCAACGGGTGTTTGCTTGCTTGCCTGCCTTCCTCGTCTCGTTTGCTTCCTTGCTTGCTTGTTTTGCCTGCTGCTTGCCCCCCCCCTTCTCCTCTCCCCCGCTAACGGACGTTACCCCTCTGTTCTTGTTTCGTTTCAGACCACAAGATCACGAAGAGCAAACTCGGTAACGGGATCGATCAGATCAGATCGGATCGGATCGGATCGCGAAGGGTAAGCTAGGGTAAGGTAAGCGGTGAGGCTGGCCAGTTAAGTAGTACATAGTACGTACCTGGTAATCAGGAACAGGTAACAAGTAACGAGTAACGAGTAACGAGAAACCAAGAAACCAAGAAACAAGTAACGTTGGCCAGTGGCCAATGGCCAATGGTCCTGTGACTGGTGGCTGACTGGCTGGCTGGTTGGCTGGCCGTTGGCCGTTGGCCCGGATGAGAATTTGCGATTTTGTCCAGGTTTTCACCAGATTGGTTGATTGATTGATTGATTGTGATGTGGAGGGTTTTTTTTTTGTTTGTGTGTGCACATGTGTGTTTTTGCTTGAGCAAAGGACGAGAGGGAGAGATACGTACACGCTCACATACGCAGACGCATACACACGTACACACAATAGATACAATAGATACATGACCACATACATATTAGGTACAGCACACCACAGAGACAGCGCAGCAGTATATTTACACAGTACATAGCACCTCATATGTAGATAGATACAGCATGTACCTACCTACCTACCTATCTACCTATCAAGGTACGTACAGTAGGTACATAGGTAGCTAGCATATCTCCAGACCAATTACAAAACCCAACATGACATATCACCTACTCCCCCTTCGACCATTCAACCCTGTGCCTCCGTGTCCCTTTATCCAGTTATTCCTCCCCAAACCAACCAAAAAAAAAAAAAAAACCACGACGTGGGAAAACAAAAACAAGGAACCAACAGGTAAAAAGGTTTCAGGAATTCATAATCATAACTCATATTTTTGGGGGGTCGTCATGTCGTGAAAATAAGTCAGCAGCGATACCGACCAAAGGGTACTAACTAACTAGTAAGGTAAGGGTAAGGTAAAAAAAAAATTAAATTACAATGCTCGTGATGGGGTATGTATGTAACAACAACGGCCGTCCAGTCCAACAAGCAGGGTTGTGGAAAGGGAAGGAAAGGAAAGGAAAAGGGAAAGGGGGTATCTGCATGCACGCATGCATGCATACATGCATAAGAGGCATGTATGTGTGAGTCTGTGTGTGAGTGTGAAAAAAATGCACACAAACATGGGCCACACAAGATCTCTCCCGTGGAACAAAGATTCGTCAAACGGATCTGTTCTTTCTTTTTGAGAATCTTCCCGATCGGATCGCCGTGATCCACCCCGTGCATTACCCTCCCATGCCTAATCTTCGTTCACGTTTCGTTTTTTTCGGGTTCTGGGGTTTTCGTTGGCTTTCGTAGCTTTTCTTTCGTCTTCGTCATATGTTCCCTCTGGTAGGGGCGGTGGTGAGGGGGTGGGGTCTCTCTGTTGGTCGGTCGGGTGGGTGAATGACTTGAGTGTTGCCATGCCTTGCCATGAATTGGAATGGCAAGAGAACATCAAGTCAATGCAAACTTGGTCTCAGTCTCGGTCTCGGTACCGGTCCCGGTCTCTGTTGACCACGAACAGAAACCCATGGCAATGGCAAGCCCATCCAACTGGAAAAAGTGGGAAACTGATGGAGTCTCTCAGGTTTGCCTCCTCCATGATGAATTTGTGAGAGGGGACTAAGCAAGCAAGCAGAACCCCGAGATCCATCATCCACACACAAAACAGGTTTTTCCCCACCAATTAACAAAGTCAAGGAGGGAGGCAAGCAGAAGATTTGGCAAAAAAAAAGGATGCCGAATGCCTGAATGCCTATTGCCTTGATCTGCCTAGCAGGTCAAGGCAGTCCTGCTTGCCGGTCAAATCACGACACCCCAACGTCGATCCTGGCGCAGTTGGCAATGGTCGAGCGCACTCGCCGGTGGAACCCGCCGTCAGCAGCCGTGTCGTACATTTCGCTAATCTGCCGGGGTAACATGCCTACGCGGCTGATTCGCTGTCTGACGGCCTCCTTGGCAGGGCCCAGGGCGTTGGCGATGCCGTCCACCCCGATCCGGAAATTGTAGCAGATGAGCTTGTCGTGCTTGACCCCCGGGTAGTTCTCGGACGAGGCCGCGACCGAGAACTTCAGCTTCGAGTTGGCAAACGCAATGGCCGCCGACGGCGTGAAGCAGTACTGCTCCAGCACTTCGGCTTGGATCGCTGACATGTCCAGCTCGGGTTCGGGTTCGGGTTCCCAGCAAGGGGACGAGCACACGCTTGTCGCCGGCGTCGAGACAGGTGACGAACTGCCACTGGAGATGGAGCTTCGAGGAGAGCCACGTGGTGATCGGGGTGACCGAGGCGACCGCGGTGAGCGAGGTGAGCGAGGTGAAGGAGGTGCATTCATGTCGGCATCAAGCCCGTCAAAGGCGAGCGCCAAGGTTCGGAAATGCGAGGATGAGCAGGCGTCCAGTGTTCGGGCATAGAAGCGAGTCTCTAGGACCTTGAGCCGGGGGAGATCGCCGACACAGATGTCGACGAGAGTGATGTGGTCCTTGAGGATTGTGTCGGCGTCGGTGCTGTCGCCAAAATCGACCGCGATGTGTGTCAACGACGATTTGATTAGGGGATGGATATCCGGGTCCGACAGAAATGCCAGGGCGTCTGCCGATGACCGGAAGACCAGCGCGTTGAGACTGTAGAATAACGTGATGGCCTCTGACCGGATCAGCTGGCAGGTATCCAAGAATCCACGAGGGTCGTCTCTGGGGGGCCGCGATGGACGAAGTCGACGTTGCGACGGACACCTCAGCCTTAGCGGTTGCGACTGTTGAAAGGCGAATTTATAGATGAGATTCCTGACCTCGGGGGGAAGGTTCAATAGCATGGAAGACATGTCTGGAACTTGCGACGACGACGCCATGGTTGTGTCGTCCTGTCTGGCGTGAACCCACAAAGGTTTGTTTCGAGGTTCAACCTGTTGAACCGATGCTGAAGAGAAGACGACAGAGGTAGAAAACAACAACAGACAACAGCTCGACCGTTGAAAGGGGGGTACACAAGATAGTGACCGGGTCTGTCTCTCCGGGCTACAGCGACAACAAGAGCTCGGGAATAATGTCGTTGAGAGGAATAATAATCGAATCCACCAGGGGGGTCTGTGCTATCGGGTTGGTGGCGTCTTGGGCGCGGCCTGTTTGCACAGCGGTTCAAATAATTGATCCAGCGAGGCGGTACTCGTGAGAGGCAGCCCGGGGCCAAAATTGTACAGAGGGCTACTAAATTAAGAGTCGAGTCGATCCCGCAATCTCGTTTCAGAGAGCATCGAGGCAAAACGTGTTTTGGTGTTACTCGGTTCTTCGTCAACTCCCAAAGGTTCAACACACAAACCACCTCTCTGGTCAAGAAACCAAGGGTGGGCTGAAATTCCGGGAGGGAAAGTCGAAGAATAACCCGCTGGGAGGAAATGGGCTTTTCCCAAGCTTAAGATAGTACTGTACCGAGTAGGTAGGCCAGGCTGGTTGAGTAACGAGAGTATGTCCAGTATGTCGTAGTTGACGGCCGTGTGGAGAATAGGCAGGCAGGTTCGAGCGAGAGACTCTGGCTGAAGCAGGAGAATGAGAGAGAAGGGGGGGTTTCGCTTCAAGAGAGAAAAGGGCGAGGTTGGTGATGGGCATATACTCGCTAAAGTGCCATCTACCTTTTTTTCACTCTTTTTGTCGAAGGTGACGCTTGGTGGTGGAGGTTACCGTTGGTACTAGTTACTGGGGTGGTTGGTTGGTGACACGATTTGCGCCTCACACCCAAAGAGAAAAGGGTCGGTTTTTTTGGATTGTGACTTTTTTTCCTTTCTTCGATGATACGAGTAGATTTTTGTTTAATTGACATGGGACCTGGCATGGCGCAATGTCTCAGTTTAGCCCCTTGTACCGTGGCCTCGTACCAGAAGAGGCAGGGCAAATCTGGGCTATAGCAGGTTTAGCTGCCCTCTGGGAAATTGGATCAATGTACCTGCGCAGTGGGGAGCCGGGGTGGCTACGGAGTATCGACCAATCATATCTGGCACAAGTGGAGTTTGAGCCTCAGGGGTTGCTGTGAGTGGCGGATATGCTCGGGGCTTGGGGCACTAGTGTCAACTAGCCGAGTCTTAGCAGAGATATTAATATCCGTAGCCTAATGCAAGCCACAAGGCACTGCTCCGCTCAGCCAATCATTTGAGCCTCCCTGGCAACCGCCCCAGCCACGGCCTTGCCAGAATCCCTGATCCAGCGAAACTACTTCCCTGAGGCTTCCGCTGGACCCCTGTTCATCTTGTGCTGTGCTGGTGCTGGAAACGACCATCTACAGCACTGGGCTCCTCGGACTCGCTGCTACGTCACTCGTGACCACATTCCGATAAGGTACGAGTACGACAACATGGTCACACACCACTCCAAGGATGGGGGAGGCAAGATCCAGATTGCCAAAAGTGTGATTGTCCGCTCGCGCATCATCCGATCATGATGATACTCGGTAAATGTCTGGGGTTGCTGCCTCCTTGATGGTACTTTGTAAGCTTTTTATCATCTACTTGTGCGTACACTCCGTATGTACCCCTTCTAACAAGTCTGCCCGGCCTCCCTGCGAGGTATGATGGAAATCTCATGCCATCATCATCATCATCATCATCACCATCGGAGTTTTTCTCCCTCTTTCTCTGTTCCCCTCTTCTCTCAAAGATTTTGTGCCACCCACACGCCCCCCCTCCTTGGTTCCATTTTAGACTTTCAACGCCATCTTTGTACTCACCTCTCCTACGCTAGCTCCACCCCCCGAGGCGAACTCGTGTTTGTCGTCCTGTGCCAATACCTTTGCGGTTAACTCGTGCCTCTGCGTCTCGGTCGCATCCGCAAAATGTACCACCACTTCGTCACCAAACAAAGCATTGATCTCTTCCAGCGACTTGCCTCGAGTCTTTGAAAGAAATTTGGTTGGATCAGTAACATCCTCGTCAAAAGAGAATGAAGTCTCTTTTCTTACCTCGGGACACCAAAAGTAAAAGATCCAGATGTTGACAAAGGTCAGGCAGATGAAGACGATATAGTATTTCCATTTGATGTTTGCCAAGGCCGTCGGCGCAGCCTCGACATACACCAACGTCGAGAGAAATGTCCCGGCGAGAGACCAGGCCACGCCCTGAGATCGGATGGTGGTAGGGAAGATCTCCGCTTTCATGCGGCCCAAAATATGCATGTCAGCGGGAATCCGGGGGATGCAACCTTTTTTTTGCTGCGAGTTCCGATATGGCTCGTGCGAGACGAAAGAAAAAGATGACAAAGGATGAGGAATGTTTCCCCCCAGCCGCGCACCACAGTCTTACCATGGGTTCACAAAAGGCCGCCTTACCGACCACCACGCTGGGATGCCGGCAGAAGCCTTACGGCCCCGCTCCGATCAGATCAGGGCACCACACGTTCGTCGCACCACCGACTTCTATTATTGCTGGCTGCGCCGGCCGGGGAGGGGGGTTTCATGCATGGAAGGTGAGGAGAAAGTGGGACAAGAAAAAGAGAAAAGAGAAAAAAAAGGGAATCACTCACAGCAATACACATAGCCCACCACATCGATGCCACCTCCATAGAAGCTGATGAAGCAGAAAGAGAAGAACACCCCCATGGACAGCCCGGCCTTGTTGGTGGTACCAGCATACTCGGCTATCATGGCGGTTTCCAGGCACACCGACAGCATGCATCCGGTGAGGCCGGCGACTATATTTTAAGCGACCGTCGCCCTTTTTAGCCCTTTTGCCATTCCGATGGGTCACACAACAGAAGAAGAGGGGGATCTTTTCCCTCCTTCTCCGAAGGAAGGATGAGAGTTGGAACACTTACGCAGAAGTGGTTTTCGTCCTACTCTGTCCAAGAGCAGCGCCCCAATGAAGTTGGAAATGGTCGCGACGGTGACATAGGCTGCTCCCAAAATCAAGGGCACCCCGCCGGTGAGTCCGAGATTCTGGTACAGGGATACAATGTATACTGACAAAACCCATCCCACCCAGCATAAGAGTCAGTGCAAGCTGAGACTTGACGCGGTGTAGCCTTGTTTTTGCTTGTTCTCTCAAAAGCTAGGCTCTCGGAAAAGCTTACCGTAGATCACCTGGGCACCCGTCGATTGTGCGGCATACTGGATGAAGAAACCCATCCAGAAGCGCTTCCGGTAGGTCTTGTTTGTGAACATGCCGCGCCATCCCCACTGCTTCCACGCGGCCGCGTCTACTCGCACCTGCTCGGTCATTTGGTAGAATTCCTCGCGCGCATATTGGAGGCCTGCTTCGTCCTCGGCTGCGCCACCGTGCAGCCGCCTGACGATATTCCAGGCCTCCTCGCGTCGGTCTCGGGTGAGCACTGTTGGGACCAATGTGAGCGTTTGGGCGGCCAGGTAGGCCATTTGTGCCCAAAAAAATGGTGACTTACGCCAACGAGGAGATTCCGGGATCCAGGGACCGCACATGGCCAACGCAAGGGGTGGTATGATGGACAAGGCAATGGGGAATCGCCATTGGAAGGAAAGGTTCGACGAGTAATACGTCCCAGCGCCCACCCAGCCGGCAATGGCGTATCCAAAGACAATCCAGGTGCCGTGTTGACCCACGAGAAAGCCTCGCGCGTTGGGAGGTGCTGGATGGTCCACGTTAGCAGCAACACCCCACTGAATCTGGTTGCGAAGGGACATATACAGATTTCAGATTGCATAATGGGGATCAAGACCACCATCATGCCGATCCCGTACCCCGAAATGAAGCGCGAAACCAGGAACATGGCCATGTTGACAGAGCCCGTCTCGAGGGCACCGCCCACGACGTTGACGGCCGACCCTAAATACATGGTCTCCTTTCTGCCGCGGGCTTCGCACATCCAGCCCACATGCAGCGCCCCAAACAGCGCTCCTGCACAATACAGGCCATTGATGGTGCCGGTGATGGCGTTGGTGTAGTCCGAGTTGGCTTTGAGATTGAAGTATTGGATGAAGCCGGGCTGCCCTATGGTGTTTGAGATGACGGAGAATCCATACCCAAAGGTAAGACTGCCCAAGGTCAGGACCAGGATGATGCGTAGGTTGTAGAATGTGTATGTCCTAGCCATCTTGTCACAAGTGCTGATAGCAAAAGAAGGAGATGGCGAGATGGGTTCATGAATGCTGCTTCTGGGGGGGACTTGTGGGGTCTCCACGCATTGATATATACAATGTTTCCATCTCCATACTGGGGGTCTTCGCTAACACGCGACCACGATATTGTCGTGGAGAGACCTTGACAAGTCAAAGGTCTGACTACCACTAGGTCTTAGCCTATACCAGGCTTACTCGGTTATCCAGCCCAGATGATGGCCATTTCACCCGGCCTTGTGGCGACGCAATGGTAGACGGTGTTTTTGGTGCAGGGCTTCCTATTCCAGCTGGGTCTTTACATATTGTTTTATTTTTTGTAAGGTACAGGATGGCTTTTGTCACCTTATTGCGGGGGTGACAGGGCGATGGTCTGCAAGTAACGAGGTACCAGATGTCGCCTCTTTCGCATTGCAGGGCGTGAGACGGTCGTGATGTCTTCCAGGGATTCATTGGAGAGAACAAGCACCGACCCTTGTCTGCCACCCCTGCATTGTTGGCGTCGTTGGCACCGTCGATCCTTCTCTCCATCCGTTTTCTCCAACTCTCACCTCGAAGAATCATTGCCGATATAATGCCATATGGCCAGGTCCCGAGGGGTGGGAAACACGGCATGGTCTCTAGCGCCGTCAATGCGCATACGCACGATCGGTGCGAGTCGGGATCGCTGGGGATTATCCTAAACCAGAAGACCAGGTGAGTCGTTCTTCTGCAAGATCCATCCTTGCATCCAGAGACAAGGTGGAGGATGAACCGAGGGCGGGCAATGGCCACAAAAAGAGGGGGAAAGGGTGGGTGTCTTCTTGTATCCCCCTCTACGGCCACAATGGACGAGAAGAAGGTCTTAGGGACGGACCTTTCTCCTTTGACATATCGAAGCGGTATGCTTTATACTACACAGGCTTTGGTGGCTCTATTGAGATGCTCTCAAAAGGCACATCCCACCATCTCCTCACCGACATCAGGCGGTATGAATACCAGTAGCCTGACGGTCATCTCGGCCTCGATTCCGCCCCTTGGTCTTACCCCGACCTTTTCGTCTCGCCCACAATCACTATTCATAAGGAACAGCCCGTCTGGCCATTTCCCGGGACCATAGCCTATGACTGACGGACCCCCCCTTCTCACCCTCCTCCCAACACCGCCCTTTCGACTTTGGGGAGTTGCCGAGAGAAAAAAAAAACAAGACACAATGGCTCCACCCATAATGGACCAGCCGCATCAGACCTCTTCGACGCAGCGAGGGCGTCCTCGACAGCGCTCGGCCGTCGCTTGTACCTGGTGCCATGCAAGACGCGTTAAATGTAATGCCGCGGCCAAGGGGACGCCATGTTCCAACTGCGAGGCCGGTGGACGCCACTGCATGCTCATCGAGAGCAAAAGGGGCAAGAAGCGGAAAGTGTCGACTTCTCCTTCGGCCACTCAACGCGACCTGTCTAGTATCGCCCAGGCCTCGCCTACAGAGACAACCCCGGGCCATGGTAACGTCTACGACCCCCTCAAGGGTGTGAGGAACCAGCCCAAGAGCCCCCAGGAGAGCCATAATCCTCGGACGGGGTCGACTTCAACGGGTGTCCCCGACAAACCTGATCTGGCACAAGACTCGCAGGAGACTCTGTATGCTCAGGTGCTTGACAAGGCGACCGACACCGGGATGCTGCAGCCGGATGTCAAAGAAGGCGTCGTCCATGTCATGTACATGGGGGAGACGTTCAACTTGACGCACCTGTTGCGCCAGACGAACCCCGACTCTGCGCGGTCTACACGAAAGAGACACTACGTGGTCCGGTTCAATCCCAAGAACCGGACGGCCGACCCTGTAGAAGAGCAGGAGGAAGAGGAGGACAATGTGCTAATGTCGTTTCTCCAGCATCAAGGCTGCTTCCGCCTGCCGTCCGTCCATACTTGCTACCAGCTGTTCCAGACCTATTTTGAATATGTTCACCCTCACTACCCTATCCTTGACCGCGAAGATTTTGCTGCGCAATACACTGATCTCCAGAACCCAGCGTCGTACCTCCTGCTCCAGAGCGTCCTGTTCATGGCCTCGGGACACTGCGAGCTGTCGGTTCTGCTCGAGGCCGGGTTCGAATCGAGATACCACGCACGAAAGACCTTCTTCCAGCGCGCAAAGGCCCTGTACGACAACGACCACGAACCCAACAAGGTGACGGTCGTCCAGGCCGTATTTCTCATCAGTTTCTGGTGGAACGGGCCCACGGATCAGAAGGACACGTGGCACTGGCTGGGCATCGCCATCAGCCTCGCGCTGACGCTGGGCATGCACCGATCGACGCAACTGTCCGACATGAAGCCCAAGGATCGGTGCCTGTGGAAGAAGATCTGGTGGTCACTCTTCGCCGAGGACAAGCACGCGGCGACCGCGCTGGGCCGCCCGGTCCACATCCGACGGAGAGACTGCGACGTCGAACTACTCGAGATTGGCGATTTCGACGACGAACCGCGTGTCGCGAGAGCAGACATCTTCGGCCGCCCCGAACGGGTCGACGGGCTCTATGTCATCGCGTTGGTCGAGCTTTCCATGATCGCAGAGAGCATCGTCGAGAGCTCCTTCACCGCCTTCAACGCCACCACCTCGGATAATGCCGACATGTTTCAGTCGTGCTCTCAGGCACTGGAGCAGTGGCGGTCGGGACTCCCGCTTGAACTGCGCATCGAATACACCAGCAACTGCCTGTGGACGAGCATGCTGCACATTGCACACAGGTAGGTACCTAGATATATTTCTTCCCCTCTCGCGCGGATATGATGGGACAGGAAAGGGAGTACTTGTCCTCCTAATCTCCTTAATCTTTGTGTATCTGTTGACTAACCATTTTCTCCCGCGTGGGAGCGGGTGTTTGGTGTGGAAAAATAGTTGGTTCGAGATCGTCACGCACCGGTCCATCTCGCCGCAGAACCTGTCGCCGCCGTCGATGAAGACGGCGCACTGCCTGGCCATGGACGCCGCGAACCGCATGGTCCGCATCGTCGAGGAACTGCTCTCGCAGTCGCACATCCTGCACTGCCCGATCCACATTGTCCCCGCGCTCTTCGCCGCCATGGGCATGCAGGCCGTCGACATCTGCTCGGGCCAGTCGATCCTCGAACAGCTCGGCGTGGTCAAGGTGCGTCTCGCCATGATCGCCCTGCGCGAGCTGCAGAGCACCTGGCCCGTCAGCGGCTGGATCTTTCGCCTCTTTGCAAAGATTGTCCGCCGCATCCGCCACGGCGACGAGCTCCTCCCCCACGAACCTGTCAATGCTTCGCCTCCCGTGCTGATGAAGATGAAGATGAATAGTCACGATGTCGCTGCTGACAAGGGCGACAGTCCTGTACCGCAGAGCCAGGTCGTCATTGACCAGCAGCACCAACAACAATCAGTATTCACCGGCAAGGCTCAGTACGGACAAGGAGAAGGACAGGACCCAAGCCTCACACCGACGACGACGACAGCAGCGTACACCATATCGACCACCCACCCCGCCGGACGGTATCTCTTTGCCGAGACATCCAGCCTGGCAATGCCCGTGAGCTATCCAGCAGACTGGGGAACCATCCTCGACGACGGAGCCTGGGCTGATTTGGAGTATGAGTTTTGAAAATTCAAGGGCAATAAAACACCCGGGGGATCGTGAGGGCCAAACACGCACAAAATAATATAGGTAGCCTTGGAGGACGTCTGTAGTGCCTATACGATACAAAGGGACCCATACCTGAGGTAAGACCTGATGGTTGTTGTGTCAGAATGGACACCAGAAGACACACACTCATACTCACTTGAGAGCCAATCCCGGCACCATGAGTGGGAGTTTCAACCCGTGTCTATTCCTTGATTCCCTAATCCATCCATCCTCTTCCCCTCTCTAGCTTTGTGCAGCTGTGTAGCACAGCATTGTTCAAACAAACCGAAACGCCGGCTGCCTAAACCCTGGCACAGAACCCAAGAAACGCAACTTTTGGCTTGTCCCGTACAGCGCCCAGCGTCCACTAAATGCCCCATTGATGGTATCCCGCACATAAATGGTGACCTAGTTGTAAATCCCAACAGCAACGTCTTTATAAAACACGTATTGACTTTTTGTATCCTGCACTCCTCGCACAAACAAATTCGATCATAATCCTAGGTCTCCCAGGTCGACACGGTTGAACGAATCCCGTGTTCAGCATGAAATAATCTCGTCCGTCTCGAGAACCGTCCGGCTCTGGATGTGATCGGTAGGAAAATTTCGGTATCGCCAAATGATGCCCAGGGTTTAGCGAGAGATGTTCAGATGCTTGCTGACCTGGTAAAATTCGCCCTCAGTCTTTACGCAACGGGAGGATGGTAGCCCCGTTGGACTTGGGTTCGGTCTCAATCTTCCCCGTCACGACTCCTTCCAGCTTGGCGGTGATTTTGGCAAAGAGTGGTTCCAGCTTCAAGTTCCAGAAGTGGCTGGCCACACCGACACAGGCAGCCATGATGACAGTCGCCAGGGCACGCCGAAAACTTCCTGGCAACGGATATCGCTCCATCTGATACTCTTCGCCATCTGGGGCGTGGTCGGTCACTAGCTGTTTCGCTTGGCCAAGGTGCAATGCCCACGCGAAGACGGTCCTCAAGAACATGCCGTGGATGAGGTAGATTGCAAAGCTGACTTTTCCGAGCCACAGAAGAGGTGGACGGCTCAACATCCACCGGGCGTGAGGGGAGATGAGAATACCAAAAACAAGGAGAATTCCGCCCAGAGAGCCGTACATCCGTTCAAGAGCGCTTGTCGCTTCCGAGGGGAAATATTGTGTGGCGAAATCACGGAGCCATGCCGACCAGGCTGCAGCTTCAGCAAAAGAACTAGGGTACGACATGAAGACCAGAGAAACCAAAATGACAGGTGGTGAAATGTAAGGCGAGTAAGGAGCCAATCTCTTAGGGATATCCGAGAGGCTGAGTTCGCTCAGGGCAATACCCAGAAAGCAGCAGAGACCTGTCCAGGCTGCTGAGGATTAGCTTGTGCCTCATATGGAGCACTACTGGCAGGCAACTTACGATCACCAATCAACTGACTCCAGTTCAGAGACCAATACGCAAGGAAAAGTAAAGTGACTGTGCGCCAAGTAGGAGTCATGGTCACCACCAGCGATAAAGCGCTGATAATCATAATGCTCCCTTGGAGTAGGTATATCAGAGCCCATTGCGGTTGATCATATTCATTTTCGTCGCCGTAAATCCAAGTCGCCCACAGAGCCCCGAGCAGGTCCAGGACTGCTTGCGGCCAGGCAGGGCTGGGTTCGGGAGTGTTGGTGTACAACCAGTATGCATCGCTCTGTTCAGATATGGAATACAGGTCCAAATTGCAAAGAAACCACGAGATGATGGTGGCAATGGTCGCCGGAAGGACAAGCCGAAAAACGCGACTGAACGACGACGAGGCTAGTTTCCGCAAGGCCTTATCGACTTGGTCTGTTCTGGCAAGCTGAATGGGCTTCAGTGCATTGACGAAACCCATGAGGATGAAAAATATGGCCACCCATGAATGCCCACTGGCCACAAGGCGAAATATCGGTCGTTGGAATAGGTATGGACTGTCGCTGAAAGGGGCACAACATGGCGGAACCAGCGCTCTCGCATAACATATCACAACATGGGAGGAAACCACAAATACTGCTGCAATGCCTCGTAGACCCTAGCTCTCATGTGTCAATGACCATTTGTTGCCGTATTGAATTTTATCGAACGCCACCTACATCGGCCCAGCCGGTATCTTTCATGGCACGCTCCTTAACATCGTGAGGAAGCCTAAAAGAGGCCAACTGCTGAAGAACCCGACTTGCTCTGTCCACCATAACGCTGATGATGATGATGAACTATGTGGAACATGGCAAAGGGACGAGAATTGCAGATGTGCGTTGTTCTTTTGCAGAAAGGCGCGCTAGAAAAGGTGCTGGTTCAGCCTCGGGCACCTTGGACGTGGGTTGTTTGACCCTAGAGTGGATGACAGGGCTGGTTCAGGGTGTCTGTGGGCATCGACTGGTCGGATCGCCGTGTCCCCTGTCCCGTGCCGCGCCAGGCGAAGGGGGCGAGGTTGTGCAAGGCCCGCAAGATGGTGGAGGTGGTGATGGAGGGCGTTGGCGCAGATGGTGTTTGGGCTGTTCGCTTAGTCAGAAACTGCGCGTCTGGAGCATCTGTGCGCGGTACCAGACAGCCAACTGATGCGGTATCTGTCTCTTCTTATCTGTTTCAACTTGATCCAGTCCTCTCTTCATCAAACGCTGTGTGTCATTGTTGTCACCGTCCCATGCCTGCAGACCTCGTCGTGACTCCCCTTGACCGCTCACGCACCCCTCGACGCGTCATCGCTTCTCCTGCGTGATGCGCAACGATCAGCGCCACTTCTCTCTTGGGATTGGGAACTTGAAACACAGAAGTAAAAGACCCTTGCAGAGGGCAAGGCCACGCACGCCCCACGCGTACGAGGTATCGAATACATGGAGCAGGTGCATGGGCAGAGCACACATGCCACATTACAATAACAAGGGGGGAAAGTCAGACATAAATTTGTGGTACAGACACTGTCGAGTCTCCAGGTTGGTAAATTCGAGGGGTATGGCATCTCTTGTGCCACCCTGCATAGAGCCATCAACAACCTCTCAAGTGTTACAGTAAGAGCTCGCCATTCCCAGCACAATGGATCAGCAATCATTGTTTCCCTGGATCTTTGCAGGTAGCACGAGATCAATGGACACAACGCTAAACAGAAAATCAACATCTCCAAAGCACCACCCAGTTCCTTACAGAATCGGGGACCGTGCCTTTTGACTTTCAAACGCCCCTTACATCCATTACGTGAATATCGCCTTTTCAAATGCGGCCACATCTCCCCCCGCGACTCTGACCGCCTTCAGTGCCGCCTCACTTAGCTTCTTTCTCTTTTCCCTCGCTTCCTGTTCTCTTCGTGCCCTAGTCTTGGAACTTCCACTAGGTGCTACGTCGCTCAGCAACTTTGCAGAATCCTTAGGCGTGAAGTTCACAAAGTCAATCACCGCCCCTCCGCCGGTAGGCGTCTTGGGAGCTTTTGGCGTCCGAGGAGGTCGAGATGACGATCTCGTCCGTGGCGTTGGAAGTGGATCTTGTGCGGCACTGCCCTTGATGGGCCCTGACTTGTGGATCGATTTCCGTCGGCTGTGGCTGTAGTCGGTGACGCTGCGGGTTGGCGATCGCGCAGGGTTGCGTCGGGGACTGACGTTTGTTGGTGACACTGACGGCGACGGTGATCGGGATGGTGACCGTCGTTGTTTTCGAGGTGTGGTGAAAGGAGAGAGGTCGGGAAAGAGGTGGGATTGAGGCGGTGGAAGAGGTGGATAAGAATACATTGGACTGGGCACCATGGTTGCAGGCGGGTAAGGCAAGGCAACACCAATAGGGGCAGGCGCTGGTGCAAGATAGGCCTGTGGCTCGTAGAGCACGGCTTGGCTCATCTGCTCCAGCTCCGGATAGTGGATTCCGAGTCCTGTCAGCGAGTTATCATTCGGCTGGTGCAGAATCGGATGAGGCACCCGCTTCGGAGTGGGAGCAGCCAATGCAGGGTAAGACTCTTCTGGTGCCAGTGTCGGTAGCGGAGGATGAGCAGTCATTGCGGGCGGTGAAAAGACAGCCTTTGAGTGCATGCTGAGGTTTGTATTCGAGGTATGCGTTCTAACCCCCTGCGAATGGGTTGAGCTACCCGATGATGGCAGGCTTGTGCTGGTTGGTGATGGCATTGAGTTTTGCCCCTGCATGCCATGTTGGTCGTGCAGGAAGAACGTGTCAGATCCATAAGTCTGCTGGTCGAGTTGTGGCCTTTCATACTCTGGGCTGAGCAGCGCTGGATCAATGGCATTGGCTTCTGCACGGCCTAGACCTCTGTACTCATCAAAATATCCATAGCCTTGGCTGGTAACGACGTGATTCTGGTTCATTATAGCTGCATTCATGTCGCGGGCGAGGCGACCCTGTTCGCTCTGCTTGTTTACGGCGGGGCGTGGCTGCAATGGACGTTCATAAGGCATGCGCAGGTGGAAGTTCTGAAAGTCTTGTTGCCAATTGCTGGTATCGCCATGACCGGCGCGCGGCGATATTGGGAGTTGCGCATACATCGGGCTGGGTGACAAGGTGGTTTCGCGAGAGAAGGGAAGCCGAACGTACGTGGTCGGGTCAAACGCTCCAGCAGCGGGCGAGGTGACGAATCTCTTTGTTCGGCTGGGCGATGAAAGCTCCAGCGGCGACACGGGACCTTGCGCATGGTGCAAGTTGTGGCCCATGGTGTTCATTGTTTGCATTTGTTCTGTCCGCTTTGTCTCTGCTCTGCGTGTTTTCTCCACTGCAAGCCTAGGAGGCTGTTGTCGCTGCTTCAAACACCATATGCCCTTGCGCCATGGTTGAGGAGGTGAATGCTCGACCTTCGCCGCTGAAGCATCAAGAGTCGGGAGCTTGTATTCATCCTGGCTGAAAGCGTCGGCGAAAAGAGCTTCGAATTGGTCGGGATGAGCCTTGTTTTCCTCATCACTGCCGTCCAATCTGTACATCTCCTCGTTGAAGAAGTCGTCAAAGGAATTGCCTTCATCGGGGATATTTGGAAAAAGCATCTTGAAGGGTTTTTCTTCTGCTTGGATCAAGCAGTCAGGAGAGCTTGTAAGAGACATTGGCAATCTTGGTAGACATTGTGAACGCTCGAGTTTTGTCAAAGGGGTGACAGGCATGAGAGAAAGATGTACACCACACAAGGAAAGTAAACAACATTTTCTGAGCACCCGGGAAACCCAGTGGCGAGGCTAGATTTGTGAGGAATGCTGCCAAAGTGGAATTCGTTGTATCCTGTGATCCGAGCGCTGACGGGATGAAGTCACCTGGAGAGAAGAGGTTGTAGAGGATCTCGACTTCTTTCAGGAAAGCAGTACTTGTGTTTTAAGCCAGCTTTTGACGATATAAACATAGTGATCGATACAAAAATGTCCAGCTATTCGCTCGTGACAAGCATTGTGGTGCTGCGTATAGAATCTGGACCTCCTGGCTTTTGGTAGGTTCTTGAAGCCCCCAATATCTCCGACCACATGTTATTCATTCTTTTCAGATCTTCGCTCACCGTTCTCAAGAGTACCGACATTGTACATCTGCGGGTTGCTAGAAATATGTATTACCAGATGGATCCAAAACCAATGCTGAAGGAATATCGCACTTTTAACCATGGCCATGACATTCTTGACTTCTTTTATCAAAGAGAGCCCGGAAAGAAGCCAAGGGATTCAAGTCAGGCAGGAACATTGTGTTCGGTCGCTATGGATATCACGCCATATTGCACGAGTGCAGTAGTTTGTGGTGGCAGTGGTGGCAGTGGCGGTAACAACTGCGCTGAGTCATAACTTTGATGGAGGCCACCAGCACGGCGTCCGTTGGCGTCGGCCACCAACGTCATTGGGGGCCTTCAGGCTGATTTTGTGGGGGAGGCAAACAACACGAGGCCGACTGAGGACCGACTGAGGTGCAACTGTGGATTTATCAGCAAACCAGAATCTGTCAAGGCTGGAAGAGAAAACATCGGAAGGCGAGTCCTTGGGAAAACTCTGGCCGACCCCCTTGGTCCGGAACCCGGTAGATTGCGCAAGAGATCGAGCAATGAGCAACACAGCGTGGGTGATAAGAGGGTGGGAGGAGATAACCGCCTCCGGTGTCTGGGCTCCGTAGCCGTGGCAATTGCTCACGCGGACAACGAAAATTGAGATTGAACCAAGAGGGGAAGCCTGCAGCAACGCGGGAGGACGCGGGCGTGGTCGAGAGTCAAGAGATTGAGTTTGATACCGGCTAAGATGCTGTCCTCCTTTCACCTGGGCGACGGCTGTTTGGTGAAATGAATCATGCCTGCGCTTCTAGTGCAGGTGAGAGGCTTCGGTTGCCTTCTGGGGGTTGCTAGCGTCCCTAGCCACCCTCCTTCTCCTCCTTCTATTGGCCCGGCCACCGCGGTCCACCTTCCCCCACCTGTCCATTGCCACTCTGTCACTGCCTGCGCTCCCACGCCTGCCGCCTTCCCAACTTACTCCTACTACTTAAGCCGCTCCTCTCTCCTCTCCTCCTCATCTTCCGTTCTTTATTACCACTCACACCCAACTTCACCCTTTCAAAGGATCAATTCCCTTGCGCGATCTTTCATCATCTCATCAACATACAACTTCATCCGCTTCATCCTTCACCCCCGCAGTCATGCAGATATTCGTGAAGACTCTTACTGGCAAGACCATCACTCTTGAGGTCGAGTCCAGCGACACCATCGACAATGTCAAGTCCAAGATTCAGGACAAGGAGGGCATTCCCCCGGATCAGCAACGTCTCATTTTCGCCGGCAAACAACTTGAAGACGGCCGTACCTTGAGCGACTACAACATCCAGAAGGAGTCTACTCTTCACTTGGTCCTTCGTCTCCGCGGAGGCATGCAGATATTCGTCAAGACACTTACTGGCAAGACGATCACGCTCGAGGTTGAATCGAGTGATACCATCGACAACGTCAAGAGCAAGATCCAAGACAAGGAAGGCATCCCTCCGGATCAACAACGTCTGATCTTTGCTGGCAAGCAATTGGAAGACGGCCGTACCCTCTCCGACTACAACATCCAGAAGGAATCAACCCTCCATCTCGTCCTACGGCTTCGCGGAGGTATGCAGATATTTGTCAAGACACTTACTGGCAAGACGATTACACTGGAGGTGGAAAGCTCAGACACAATCGACAACGTCAAGTCGAAGATTCAAGACAAGGAGGGTATTCCGCCCGACCAACAGCGACTGATCTTTGCTGGCAAGCAGTTGGAGGACGGACGAACACTGTCGGACTACAACATTCAGAAGGAGAGCACTCTGCACTTGGTGCTGAGACTGCGTGGAGGTCAGTAAGCAATAGTAGCAATTCGGAATCGATGAATCATGCGGCGTTGTGGCTTTCTAAGGTGGAAATGCCTTTGGGTTCTATGACATGACAGCGGACAATATACAAATAGTCCTCGGGAATCAAATATTGCAGCTGGCGTAAATGCTAACTGCAAGCTGGTTTTTTGTCAACAAATGTTTCTTCTCATTAGATCGCGCGTGCTTTTGACAACCTTGAGATTGATGGCGATGTTGTTCATCCCTCAAAAGGTTGGTCATATGTGGCTGGTATCACTTGAACGTGGTAGAAAGAGCACTACCACTCATGTCAGATAGTAGGATGAAACGAAGCTTGACATGCCAACCCTATGTGACGTGGTATTGATGTCTCACAACATGATTGTTATGTGACTCGAGCCCTGAACTGGGATGTGAGATTGCAATGAAGGGGTGGTGGAACTCATGAGCCATGAACTCTGGGTGCCATCCACCCATCCGCTTCGCTTCGTGATTATGTAAATCGGTCATAACGAGTGTAAGAAGTGATTTCGATGCCATCAGGCTTCCTTCTTCCTGTGTTTCACCAAGTAGACTCCCTGTTTGTTTGTTTGTCTCCTTGTTTCCTTTCCCCCCGGTCCATCCATCCATCCATCCACCTACCCATTCATCCATGCCCGGACCTTTCACCATGTACCAATAGGTTCCAACATCGGGCCAATGATATGAGGCACGGCCGGGTCATCGTGGTCCTGGTGGTGCATAAACGACGCAGAGTACCAGAGGACCTGGTCCTGCTGTGCGACGTCTTGGCCCGGGGTGTTCATGATCTTCTGGAAGTTGGCTTGGGTGCATTGGAGCGGGCCGAGGGGCCAATCTCCATCGATGCGAGTGCAGCCGTCATCGACCGGGGCGTCGGCCTTGACGAGCCACAGGTCGCCGACGCCGTAGCCGGTCGTGTCGCCCGCGTCGCCCTCCTTCCTGTCGCTCTTGCCTGGCGTCAGCCTGTAGCCCCGGTTCGAGGCCGTGTTGACAATCTCCCAGTGTCGGTTGGTTTCCTTCTTCATGTTGCCCGTGTACTTTTGCGCGATGCAGTGGGCGCCGTCGCACTGGCGGACCTCGTTGTTCCTGGACGTTTCGATGTCAAAGTCGAAGCGCCAGTACGCGTGGTGATGATGCTTGACGCACACGCAGTGACGATTCTGTTGCAGCACCCCGCCGAATCCCCACCGCGGCGCGATCTTGCCGTTGGCACCCAGAGTCCATTGAGAGACATATCGGTACCAGTCCGCCCACAGTTGCGACCTGATGACAACCCGGTCGTCGTAGACGTCGAACGAGACACCCCGAAAGCCCTCGTTATCGGGTCTGCCGTCGATGAACGTGGAGGATCTGCCTCCTGTGCACTCGCGGAATCCGGGCACCCCAGGAGCATCGGCACCGGGACAGTCAAACGGAAACTCCCTATCCACCCAGTCTCGATATGTAGGCCCGCAACCCGGCGACTTCTCCAGATAGTTGACGTTGAGAATCGGTAAATGTGCCTTCTTCAGCACCATTTTGTTCTTATACCGTACGTTGTTCAATTCCACGCCAGAGCCAAGGCTCCCGGACGACGCTCCAGGTCTGACCACTTCCAAATCCCAAAGGACATTGTTGTGGAGGTCGGTGATTGTCACATGTGCCGTCCCGACCTGCCGACCTGACGCTATGACAGCCTCGTTCTCCGGTGTTCCTGAACAGCTTGGCAGTGCCTGGATGAGCTGGACTGGCGTCGCGGTCCGTTTGTACATGTTGACGTGGAACGAGCGCAGTGTATCGTTGCTGCCGTTGCCTGCTTGGATGTGAAGGATTCGAGACGTTGACCCATCAGAATTCGATTCGTGTATGAGGGGTGGCATTCTGCTGAAGACGGTCGCATTGGGCCCGAACCCGGCGATTGAGGCTGCGTCAAGCAGTTCATCTTGGTTTGGAAGTGGCTGATCGTTCGTTATGTCAAGAGACGCAGCGGATAGAGGTCCAAGGGCGTCGTCGACATTCACGTAGACCGTCCTGCCATGTGCGTAATCTGCTACAACGGCTCGAAAGCTGTTGCGCTCATTCTTCTCGTTGGGTTCACGCAGATTGTCAACGTGGAGGAGCCTATGGGTTGTTCCGTTCAGGGCCTCGTTAGCCTGCCCCGTCAAAGCATCACGAACTTGGCCAGAATCCAGGACTCTTGACACTGCAGTCTCAAGAGCGTTGCGATGCACCTGTGTTGTTGGAGTGCGGATGAATAGTTTCAAGGAGTGGGTGGTGGTGGTGGTGGTGGAAGCCAACACCGATTGCTCCTCCCAAGCAAAGGCAAGGCTGAGAAGAGCCAATGCAGAGAGAAAGATGTGATTCTGCAACCGTCAGTAAGTCTCTAGATAGTATTTCTTGACGCCCTGAAACTTTACCATGTTGAAAAATTGCTGATCATATGGTCTTGTCACCCGAGCCTTGGATGAGGGATGGCATCTAACATATAGATCTGCCTGCTGTCCGCATGGACCGGTTGAGGTCAAAGAGCCACTCCAGTTGGCCAGCTGAGAGGACGAGTTTAGGAACGGGTTCGAGGATCAAGCACAGCAGTATGCAGCCTCTCCCGTTCGCTAAAAAGTGTCCAGGATCCAAAGCGTGACTCCCACTACGGGCTCGATGGATGAAGCCCCAAGAGACCGGATTCGCTGATTCCCATGCATCCTGGAAATACAAATAGTGGCAAGCCTGGCAGGTTGCGTCGTCTAGAACCAAGGACTGTCCTATGCATGCCCATCAACCTTCCCCAGAGCGGACAGCTGAATGTACTCACATCACACATCTGGCGCTGCTTCCCCAGCAAGGTCCAAAGAAGGTCCGAAACGAGGAAGCACGTTGATAACGACCAGCCCGTGCAACACTCTCTTGTGCATATACTTGTCGTGAACTTCAGCTCCTCTCGATCTAGCCACAGCCTGAAGATGTTGCATGAGAAGCGGCGGGCCTTTGACTGCCGTACGCTGCTTGCCACCGTCACCTCATTACCTCCAATGTGCAAAAAGCCTGTTTTTTCGTCACAGCATTGTGGTCTCGCAGGACGCATTTCGATAGTTTGACTAGTATGGTCGAGCCGGTGAACAATCAACTCTGGAAATGCCATGATGCAAGTTTTGCTGTCGTAGTAAAGAGGAATACGAGTTCCCCGGCCCTCCACGGACAGACAACAGGGTCCTTCAGAGTCCAAATGCAAGAATCTCCGTCGCCTTGCAGAGTTCAGGACCCTAGAAGAAATATTTCGTGGTTGTGATTGGCTGAGAGGTGACGATCAATGGCCACGGAAGGTTGCGGTGGCGAGCTGACTAGAGGGCCTGGAACAGCAACAGGGAGCAATGGACTTTTATGAAGGGAAGGCGAAAGGATGAAGAGTCGATGCCTTTCCGCCGATCTTTCAGGCTCCTCCAATACGGAGTCTGTGGCGGCGAGCTGAATAATGAGTCCAGAACCTCAAAGGAGAAAAGCGAGGCTGTTTACGTATGGAAGAGGGGTTCAGGTGTGCTTTGAGGAACCTACATATCAAGCTTATCCCAATCCGAGCTCTCAGCCAGCCACTAAATCCTCCGGGGGTTGACATGGCATTTCTCTTTGGGCCTGTCTTTGGTACCGAGTAGGGTAGTTCCATCTCCACCCCTGTCCACAATCATACTCAAGCTTCTTTTCCCCTCTCTGGATTAGCTCACTTGATATACAGGCACTTCGACCTCAACAATAAATGTGTGTAACAGCTGGATGTGTCTCTCGGGGGGGCAGCGGCCGCAGTCTTTCCATTGACTTTGTCCAGAAACCAGACGACCACAACCAGGATTAGCAGGGATTTTCTTTCTCAAGACTTGTGTAGCCCCAATCTATTGGGACCACGCGACTATGCCCATCTTCTGTAGGATGGTGCCATGTGATTGGATCGACGGTGGGCACGTTGTCTCGGGGTAGAGCAAGGGAGATTAAAGAGAACGAGGGTAGGGATAAGATCCAGGTTTACAGATGAATCGTGGTAGCATCGGCTTCGTAGCAACGACCAAGGCAGGCCATATCTCCCGAGGCTGATTGACTGATTGATGATGGATCAATTGATTGAAGCGGCAACAAGGTTCGTGAGCGCAGGCACTAAACATCAACCTCTTCCTCAGATCCAATCAGTCGCTTCATTGTTTGGAGGGAGGGGGTTGGGCAAGTGGATCACGTGACCAACGGCATTTCTGGAATCCCCTCGCTCCTTTCTTGTTTCAAAGCGCGATTTTGTGATACCTTGCCTACTGGTACGTAAATATAAATCATGAACCCTGCGATACGCTGCGAGGAGTCTTGTCTTCTGATGTGTTGGGCGTCGAGTGACGGCGGCCTCTCTTCCCATCCAGGTGTCCAAACCGGACAAGGGATCCTGACCGTGCATCCAGGCACCCATCGTGTAACCATCTGGGCCATCATGCAGACGAACCCAATAGTACTGCAGTGCTTGTCACCCTCTTTGTACCTCGTATATACTGGGGCGTTGTACAGTACCGAGTATAGATATGTTCTCCACCGAAAGCTGTGATTGGATGGGGAGGTTAGCGTTGACTAGATTATTTGAAGTAAGCGCCTAAACATTCAAAGCGGCACGAAGGTGCGCGTGAACTCCGAACAAGAAACCGAGTTGTGGCAATTACTAGTAGTACATATCATGTTGCCTCTCTCTCTCCATGCAATCGTTTCGCATTTGATAAATACCTTGTCAGTGCACTTCTTCCTTCTGTCCAGGTTTTCAAAGAGAGTCCATTCCTCTCCTTGGTGCCTAGAAATGACAGCGCCTGGTTTGCCACTTCTAGAACCTTGTTGCATGTGGTCCATAAATAGTCTCGCCTTCTAATGACTGGCAGCGACTCTGGACTTGCACCGTGATCTTTGTCTTAATGCGTGCGCGACATGCCTGACTACTTCTTTCATGTCGCTGTTGAATTATTTACAGACCCGACCTTCAAAGCGAAGCAAACTGA